AACAGCTGTTCAACTTCAGCCTTCTCTTTTGTAGGTATTAATTTTCCAAAAATATTTGTGTAAAATTGGTGGAATGATTTCACAATGTCCGCTGTGTCGGTGTGCATTGACCCATTGCTATTTATCTCTACGATTTCTTTTGACAGAGCATATCGCCTTTCGTCGTCCAGAGACCTCTTTGTAGGTTGTTCACCAAGGAGGAAACGTTTCTTTCGAGAGCGAATTATGGCCCCTCGATACCTTTCTGTTTCATATTTTTGTAGTTGAGCTCGAACCACATTGATATCGTCACTATATACGCCTGGGTTAAGGCATTCTAGTTCGTATAGAGTCGTTAAATTCTTGAAGAGTTCACGTTGTTCCTGTTTGTTGATGTAGGATAAGATCGTGGAACGCTCGATTGCGTGGTTTTTCACCTCCTGTTTAAAGAAATCCCATTTAGCAAATATATGCATGCCAACGTTTTTTTGTATGTCCGACAAAACTATGGGAATCTTTTTTGAGAAAGAATCATCGCTTAGAAGTTTCAGGTTTAACTTCCAGAAGTCCCACTGTTGACAAACACATCGGTGTCTCTGCGGACCAAAACAAGTTGATACCAAGCAATGATCAGAAAAGAACACCGGTTTAACGTGGTAGTCGCTCATTGAGTCAATTATAAAGCCCGAGACATAAATTCTGTCTAACCGAGCGTGAGAGATTCCTTGGAAATGAGTGTAACGTATTGGTTCACCTTTTCTATAAGCCACATCAACGAGGTTATGCTCTTGAAGCATGCTCTGAAGAGCCGTTGCACTTCTATCATACCTAGTCTGCGATACCGATCGATCGTCTGCACTACAAACACAATTAAAGTCTCCCATTGTAACTAACGCTCTATTAGTCTCAAAAAGCGATGGTAAAATTTCAAAGAATGATGTTCTTTCCTTCGGGCTATTGGGAGCGTAAAGACAAATGAAGCGCCAATTTATCTGTCTAAAGCTAAGGTCACAAGAAATAAGACGCCCTTCGAGGTCAGTCAAAACGGAAACTGATGACAAATCAAGCTCTTTACGAAAGAAGAGAAAACACCCAGCGGAGAGACCTGAAGCTTGACTAACGCAAATTTCGTAATCCTTCATAAAGGGTTCTAACGCTTCAGCAATACTCTCATCTGAAGATAGCTTCGTCTCCTGTACCGCTGCGACGTCAACTTTCTCCTCTTTAAAAAGGCGCAGCAGCTGATACTGTTTCCTTTTAGAGCTCAGACCTCTTACATTTAAGGTCGTGAAATGTAAAGGAAGGGCGGCAGACATTGGGAAGTTTAGGGCGTACTCAAGTCACCGCTTAGGCTGTCCTCGGTCACCTTGAGGTTTGCCGGCGGTTTGGCGTATGGCTTGAGTCGGGTTCCAGCCTGCTTGCGTTCTTTCTTGGCTCGCGTTGGAGGGAGCCCATCAGCAGACGGACTGTTGGTCGGTCCACCCATGACAGCAACGTCTGGCACTTGAGCTGGCTGAGGTGCCTCAACGGGCGGTTCGGTGACTTCGGGCTTTGCACCGATCTCAGCGGTGTCCTGCTCTCGCCTTGTAGCATCTTCCTCGACTATCGTTGAGTCTGATGTCATAGACGAAGCGTCGTCTTCGTCTGGCGGTGGAGGTGGCTCAGGGAGGCCACCAGGGTCGTCTTTGCGTTCACTGGTACTGGGAACTTTGCTTGGAGGCTCTTGTTCGATGTACTTGGCGAACGTTTCGGCCGGCGGGGCGTGACCCGAAGCGTCGACGACCTCGGAGGCGTCCATCAGGAGTTCCGACTGCTCTTCCGTCTCACGGGACATTTTGCCACGAAGCTTGCTTGCGTAAGATGTGACGCAAGCATCCGCGATGTGTCCGTAGATACCGCATTTGTAGCAGCGTGGTGTTCTGCACTGCCGTCGAATGTGTCCGACCCTGTTGCACCTGAGGCACAAAGGAGGTCTTCCTGGTACGATGACGAGCGTCTGCATGCCGTACACCTGAAGTAGGTGAGGAATCTTTTCTGTCGACGTTCCTTCGTGCAGGGTGATGTTTACCTCACTGTTCAGGGTGTCCATGTGCTCCATTCCTGGGCAGCGCCACTTCTCTCGATGAACGCTACGTACTGTGCCGAAAGGCGTCATAGCTTCGACGACGCGCCCGTCTTCGAGATGGTCCGGAAGCCACAGGAGCTTCATCTTGAGGTCCCGTGTGTTTGGGTCGATCACCAGGCATTTCTTGCCTTTAACGAGCAGCTCGCCACGGCGGCAAAGCTTTTCTTTGGCGAGAGCGTTGACGCAGGTGACCATCCATACATGGCCCATCTGGAATTGTCCGGTAGCTTTTATGTCTTTTAGGTCTATAACTTCTTTCAGAGCATCACGGAAGTCCGGTGCCGTGTAAGGCCTAGCGGTCATGTCGGCGTGAAGAAATACAGAATTCAGAACGAGGTTACCGGTTGGCAGACGAGGAAGCGTGATCCTGTACTCACTTGAGTTGACATTCGACGATTCAATATTACCTCGGCCAGAGGCCGATGCGGTGTTTCCACCAGAGCTCATTTTTTCGCAGCCGTTCCAAACGGCCTCTTCTTCTTCCTCGCCACACGCCCCATAGTTTGTGGTGGTTTTTTGTGGAACTTATATGTCTGCTGAATTCGTTTTTAAACATTGGGTGGCTAGTCTCGTATTTAATTTTTTGCTACCTGTTCAGGATTGTATTTCTAACATTGTGGTGATGTTGACATGCTCAATAATTTAATATTACTGTGTCTTGTAATCGTTTTAAAGCGCTTTGCTGATCGTTTTATTGCAAGCGTGTTGAAGATACGCGAACATAGCCTCGGTAAAGTCGCTAGGCATCCATAATAGCCAACGAATGCGATCCAATATAATCCACAATCTTATTTTGCACGTTTTGCCGGTCGCGTTGTCCGTGTGTGTTTCAAATCTCCGTCATAAAGTAAATTTACCGATTATTCGTGATGCGTGGAGTTCACCTTAGTTTCGAATGTGTCTGAAAAAAGGAAGCTACTGTGAGCCGTGCAACTACGTCGAATCTGCTCAACAGCCGAGATCGTGGCACGGTCGTTTCAAAGTAAGTTCCTTTCTTTGTTCGTTAGGGCTAGATTATTCTTTCCTCCCTTCATAATGCTTGTTATTGTCTCTAGATCACTTGCTTGTATCGTTGTTACTAATTGTGCGCGAATGGTGTTATGCCAGGCTGTGTTTCTTCTTTTTTTCCCCGATGCAGAGCACTCCATCCTCGCACCAATTAGCGGTCACAGATGAGCGCTTAGGCTGCATACTCGCTCCAGGTCCATCAGTAGCGGCGGAAATTTTCGGGACATGGGGGCGGGCGGGGGGGTGGGCGGGCAGGCAGTCAGGCAGGCAGGCAGGCATGCTAAGACGGAAAAATAAAGGGAGGGGGGGGGTGGTTTGATTGCCTCCCTCCACCGTACTGTTTACTGGTAAACTAGAATGTCTGGAAGAGCGCGGTGCCCCTCCATCGCCGAAGCTCTAGGTTTGACACCACAGGTGGATTCTGTGTGCGTATTTGCGTCCGGAGAGCTGGACCAGGCAAAAGTCAGCGATTGATTGATCGAGCAGGCCCGTAGCTTCCGCCGCCCAGTCGCCTGCAAACGACTTCATTTTCTCGATTTATAACCGGAAAAGAATTGCCAAAAATTGGTGCCGCGGTAAAATCACCCCACGGTGATTAATGCATAGCATGCCACTCCCGATCGCAAAAATTTGTGCCCGCGAAAAACTTTTTGACACCGCTTCTGGGGTAGTTTACAAGCGTGTCCTTATTTTGAATTGTGTCGCGCCAATTTATGGGAGGTATATTTTGTTCAGTGTAAGTATATAGTGTTCATACCTCACCCAATTCCTGTTTTTTTCTCTTTGGTACTGCCTTTAGTGAATGGTGTAGGTTGTAATTGTTTTTGGTAGTAAGGGGATGAGCTGGGGCTAATTGAACACCTTGAAAATTAGTTCACAAAAAGTCATGGAGACAAGGAGGGTAACACATAGACCACATGCAAGCGCAGACTCAACTCGCATAAACAAAGAAGGAAATAAAGAATGCGGAAGGAGCTCGAGCAGAGGCCCAAGTGGAACGCGCTGATTTACCCATTCGCAAGTGCAGATTTTAAAACCATAATTTTCTCGTCGTTTAAGGTAACAGATCGATGGCTAATACATCAAAACAGCTCAATTTCTATCTAAAATTCATGATGGACTGTCAGCTATCTATCCACTGTTTACACTGCTCGTGTATGTCATCCTTAGAAAAAAGCGTGGATAATTAGCATATACTATGAAAAACATAAAAGAGGATTATTTTAGGCGTTTATTATTCATAGTATGGGCAACCAATGTGTCTGCACATTCGTCTGTTACTTGAGCTAACAAGGAAATTGTTTTTAGCCTTGTGGCTATGGTTGAATTAACACGTTCCACTTGGACCTGTTTAGACTTTTGCTAAAACTCCTTCTGCATTCTTTTTTTTTTATTTTTGCTATAATTTATGTGACTTGGGAGTCTGCAGTTGTATGTAGTGCATGTATTCCTCGACCCTTTATTCCTTGTTTTTTGTGTACTATTTTTTAATGTGTTCAGTTAGAATGAACTCACCAGTTTACTACGTGGAAAGGATGTTGTTAATTCTAGAACTTCTGTAAAACAATCTACCTGACATCTTTGCCTTGCGCCACGGTTCCTGAAGCTCAGTTCTCCGAGCACAGCCTTTTTGATTTCTCTGATGCTCTCTTCTTTCTTTTGTTTTTAATGGATTGAGTTGCTAGTGTGCACCTGTCTGTGTTCTACGTGTTCCTGTCCTTTTGTCCTTGTCTTTTTTTTTTGTGCACTTTTTTCAAGTTGGTCCACAATATTTTTTATTGTATATTGTACTCTGTTTTCATCTTTATACTTACTGCAGCCCTTGCCAAGCAGAAGTTGGCATTCACTTTCACCATCCCGATGTGAGTGTCCTGGGACGACACAGGATGACAGTCTCCTCTGCTGAAGTCCAGGCTTCATGGGAGACTGCCAAGGCTGTTTATGGTAAGGTGCTCTATATATTGGGCAATACAATAGCAACTTATTGCTGCTGGGATTGTTCTAACATAGACTGTGTTTATGGGCTGGCCTTCAGCAATTCTAATGCCACTCGCCTGGAATGAAAGCCTCTAGGGAAATTGCACATTTCTTTCGTAAGCGGAATGCAGAGTTGACAACAGAAGTGCATCACTACTTGCATGCAGTGTTGCTGGGTGTTGTATTTTTTGTATTTCTTTATTTAGTGTTCCCAATAATGGCTAAAGCCTTCCCATTGGTGCGCTTGTTAGCCCCTAGTCCCACTAGAGCGACAATACAGAAACAAACGACAGCGACGAGCCTCAAACCAGAGTCTCTGTCGCGATTTCACAGGCTTGTGCATAGAATAAAAGAGGCTACACTCGGATACAAGTATTACGCACGCGAGGGTATCTTCGGCAGGCTTGCAATCACCCGGGGTCACTTCACGAGCACCGAACGACTATAAACGCCTGCCAAAGGTATACCATCGCGAGGATACCGCATGTGTTGAAGGCTTGTCGGTGTCGTCTGTTTCTGTTTGTCGCTCTAGTGGGACTCGGGCATAAGTAACAACACACAAACACAAACGAACGGCAAGAGTGGTAAACAGTGCCTGTCACGTCCTTCGCCACCGTGCCCATTGGTTTTCAGAGAAGTTTCCAGTATTAATATCTATAATATTTTGTCATATATCGCACAAGGACACAACCAGGAGCTGTACCTACAATTCAACACTCACAAGACTTGCGTGAATACACCCCATAGCTGGTCGCATTTTCAGAGTCATTTTAATGTTGCGAAAATAAATAATGACATTGGCATATTTGTCGTGCCAAATGCTGTCACACCTGTTCCGAACTCTGGTCTCCACGTACTGCGGACTTTTTGCATCGATTCTTGTACATCTCTGCCTCACTTATGCCCAAAAACATTTTACTCGGTCTATCAAGCCGTGTAGTCAAGAAGCTATAATCTGTAAAACTCTTCAGAACACTCCTGAGTTGCGAAGCTTTGCAGTAGATATTTATGAAAAATATTCCGTGCTATTTCCTAACCTCGAATACATGACTGCAGGAGCATGGTATGCATTCAACATACTCTCTTTGACAAGCTAAAGCATCATAAATGTCATGTCCACGACCCTTACTATACCTATTAAGTTTTTGGCTGACAGTGTCATAGAAGCTGCGTATGGGCTGGACCAAACTGCAATCAGCCTTGTGTTATGTGGCACTGCTCTCCATGTATACACAGGGGCAGGAGTGCAGCCGCATTGCTCCAAGCTGGTGCGTGGTTGGTTGACCCCCCTCCCACTCTCAGCTTTTATTGTAGCATTACACACATCATGTGGCAGTCCTGCACATTGTTCTGACTCATGTCATATATTTTTTTATATTTTTCACAAAATAAGTGGCAGCAGCACCAGCTCCTGTGATGCAGAGCATGTGCAACACAGATGCAGCCTTCGGTGGTGCAGCTGCAATACCTGCAACCTTAGATGGAGCAGCTGGTACAGTCGGACCTGCATCCGCTGAGGCAGCTGCTAAAGAGCCCGCTGAGGTGGAGCCATATCAGCTGCTAAACTTCCTAGAATGTGAAACGGTAAGTTGATTTGGTAAGTTTTTGCTTTATAAGAGATACCTCTGGAAAGAAGGCATTTCTATGCTTGCACAATGTCTTCAAGATGAAAAGGCCTTGACAATTTGTCATTGACCATCTAGATCTCGATAAATGTTGCTCAAATAAGATCTCTCTTTCAGCACCATCGCCACAAATTATTGTTTTTTGGTGTTGCATCACTTCAGCAGTGGTGTAAGACCCAAGTTTTAGTGTCTTGAAAAACATATCTAAGGCGACATCTCTTTGTAGAAAGTTTAAACCTGCATCTCTAACATTCTGCTCAACATTTTGAGTGCATTAGGCGGAAAGACTTGGAGCATCGTATTCCCCATTAATTACCTTTGGCCCATACAATAAACCCTTTTCAGAAGTGTGTGCATATCCAAGGCCGCCATTTCTTAAACGCGGATTCCGAGTACGCTTTGGAAACAAGCGCCGTGTCAGTGATTGGCGTGGATAGACGTGAGTGCAACGTCAGCATTTCACATGGCCTTCGATCCAATCACAGCTTTCGTGTCCAACAAATGGCGACTCAATGTTGCTTGCTTGGGTTTTGAAAATGGTCTATTCTTCCTATGTTCACCAGGTACATGGGAATGAAACTCAGCACTCTTGGAGCATAAAGTGGCTTCTTCTCTTTTAAAGCGTTAGTTTTATAGTCCTAGCCACGCTCGAGGTTGCATGATAACCCCGCACACAGGTAAAAAAGTGGCGCGCCTTGCACCGGCAACTCAAATCAGTGGGCGCATCTTCTCATGTTCTCTGTCCATTACGCCGACCGAAAAGTTCGGGGGGGGGGGGGGGATTCATGAAACACCATCTAAGGAGGCAAAGGGGGCTGGAAAGGGAAGAGCGAAATCACAAGGCCAGCCAGTGATCGCACTGTCAGGTTTTTTTGAGCCGGCCAAATAATCTTCGCCAGCAGCCGACACTACAAGAGGGCTTGCCACCCAGTACCCCTTGCAGTTGACAGCGGCAGAATCAGGGAACGTAATAAAAGAACTTGATAGCTCGAGCACCGTAGTAGTGTTGCATGGGAGCTTCGCAGGATTTTTGAAAATGATTCAACTAAAAAAGGAGTTAAACTAACGAAACTTGCTTTAATCAATATGCACGAAGCAGCATTTCATGAAAGGAGGATCTCACCACCGAATACACCGGTTTCGCTTCCTATTCTAATTTTTTATAGATGCATTTCTACGACGGTTGATGTCAAGGTGACGTGGAAAGCCTGGGGTGACAACAAGTGAACCAGGACATAAGGTCAAGCGTTGCTGTGAAGAACCTGGCCATTGCTCTGTGGGGGTCCAGTGTCCTGCAGAGGACTGTGGCCGAAATGGCGTCGAATGTCAGTCTTAACAAGGACAGCAGGCTGCCTCTGACACCCAAGAAAGCGGCATTCCTAAGAGGCGAGTGCAAACTATCTCACGTAAGCGTAACCTAAGCAGTTATTTGAAAAATCTTCTCAATCAAGGCAGTATCTCGGCAGCTAGTTGGTATTATACTGGGAGTTCACAATGTTTCGGTGATCTTTGGATGGACCGCATAAAACTGATAGGATTGAGCACACAGCTGTGACATAATGGTGGAAGCTTTCAGTAAAATTATAGGAAGATTAGGTAACCTCGGTAAAACACAAAAGCTATATTTTTTTATTTTTTGCGTGCCAACACCAGATTTATATTTTTTTTTGTGCCACTGGCCTTTATTTCGGCTATATGAAGTAAGCAATGCGTAGGGCATTTCCTTTTTATTACAATCATTTGCAGTTGCAGTACATGCTATAGTGACCCTGAATAAACTGATGTCTTCACAAAAAAAAAAGAAAAAAAAAAGCTCTACGAAATTTTTTTTTCGTGGAGAGAATTGTTGCAATTTATTTACTCTCGAAGGAGCGTCTGTACGTCATAAGGGACACTCCACATGGCTATTCAGTGGCCGCTTCTTCGTTTTTCAAGGTCTCACCGGATCATCCTCTCCCCACTTCCGGGGGGCCGCCCCTCCCGGAAGGGAGGGGCGGCCCCCCGGAAGTGGGGAGAGGAAAGCTTGCTTTTTGGGCGGCCCACTTCCGGGGGGCCGCCCATAAAAGGCAAGCTTTTTCTGCAAGCTGGCTTTCCCCGAATGCGTCCCCGTGCTGGGGGAAAGCCAGCTTGCAAAGCTAAATGGCGCTCTTGGCAGTTCTATCTATCGGAAGACGCTGCAATTTTCCTTCGACGTAACCGCATTTTTCGCTATGCATTTTTATAGCAGCTACTAGTCTGTTCACAAAGTTTCATACAAAGTTCGATACAATCGGGTTCAGCATCATACAGAATGTACCATTTTAGTTTGAACGTAATTTAAAAAAAGAGGGCGAGAGATTTGTGGGGCTCGGCGGACATAGATAAGGGGATAACCGTCACAATATGTTGACCAATTAACCCAGATTTGTTAATTAACTTTTTAATTATTGATTTTATAGGGCATGTTGAAATTGCATTCTTCAAGTGCGTCATTATTAAAGGCTATTCCAAATGAAACTGTTCATGAAAGTGATGTGGCATGTGATTTTAATGAACATTAGTTCAAGCCTTACGTCTACAAATTGCGCTCCTTTAAATATTTTGTCATTGCATATTTTTCAGAATGCCTAATGATGAACTCCGTGGCCAAAAGCACCATGCAGATGTCATTGCTGTAATGTCGAGGACAGCAAAAGTAAACCACATATTGGGAGAAAAAATGAACGACCGGCGAAAGCAAGAGAAATGAAGAGCCAATCGGTAAATAAAAATAGAACCAGCCGGTTCTTGGCAATGGTCTGCAGTGAAATACGGTGTCAAGCATGCATTCCCCCACAGGTTCCCACAGAGATTGCCCACAGAGCATGGGGTTATGAAACCCTATGGGTTACCCACACGGCTCCCACGGGACTTTGGTCCTACACAGCTCCTATAGGATCTCTGCAGGACCCACACCCGTGGACCCACACAGACTGTGCGGGGACCCATGGGGACCTATACACCCACACACTCTGTGGGGACCCGCACACCCAAACAAACTGTGCGGGGACCCATAGGGACCCGAGCACCCACACAATTTCTGTGGGACCCACACGGTTTCATAACCCCATGGGTCTGCGGGTTTTTGGAGCGGGGAAGGTGAATAACAAATTTGTGTGATTATACAAAGTGCGTTGTTTGTGCTTATGTGTTTATTTCTACTAATGTTATTTATTGTCTTTACCGCTTTTGTACTAGAATCTTAACTGTATTAAGGTAATAGTATTATTGTATACAAAATAAGATATTTTGTTCTAAGGCAGCTCGAGCCCATAGGGAGAAGTAAATTAGTTGACTGTACCTGCCACACGGAAAAGTTAATATATTTTCATTAAATGATATGGAACTTAATCAGCTCGCGGTCTTGAGTGATTTTACGAGCTTCGAAAGCTGATTTGTCGACCCCACAATGTCATTCCATCGAAATTACATTACTCTTGCCGTGTGGCCGGAGCATGATGCAAGAATTCAGTGACTGCACGCGATAACATCGCTTACATGATCGTAAGTGACACTGTCTAGCCGTGTCCGCGTTGACTACGTCTACCTGATGTTTACCTGTGATCTGTCTTCCTGTGTCCAATCACTGCGTGTCTCGCCATTTTGTCGAAGTCTTTCTGCGTAAAATATGCATCCCTACAGCAATAATTGCGTGACTCAATGTTTTCTGTTAACGCCTACCTCGTACCATTTCATACCAATTATTTAGCGGTGTAATATTTTGCCCGTGTAATAAAATATTTTCGAGGCCCCTTGCTATGTGCAGCATTCATTTTAGCTAATAAGACACGCGCATGTGACTGAAAGCGCGTTACGACGGTCGATGCACGCGCGTTGCCTTCGCTTCGACGCGCGCCCCCGACGGCCTTCCTTGGCGACGTCACGAGAAGAGCGCTACGGACTTCTCTTCTAGGAGGTGAGTGGGAGTACAACATCGGTGCATACTCCAGCTACTTCTCTACGTAATCAGAACGAGCATCCTCTCCATATGCCGTTGCCTCCTGTCCCGGGGAATACTACATTCTCTCCGATTTTCCCCTCCCCTGCCGACCACACGTGCGCAGTGTGACGTGTCGAATGTCACCGCGCAGGGAGCGCGGTGGCATTCGACTCTCTCTCTCTCCTTCCTCTTCGGCGCATTCCCCGTGCTGCCAGCATCCTCAGCAAATGCTTCGGTGAAATGCGCGGTCGTTTTTTGTCCTTTGTGTATCATTCATTTTTAGCCGCCGACCAGATGACCCGTTCGCGCTCACACTGTGCAGAATGCCTTATTGTTTCTCAGAACTTAAAACCTCCTTAAAACCTTTTCATCCTCCGCCACATGGGCGCTGCCATCTTGGAATCACGTGACGCGGCAGCCATTAGGTTGCTGATCCACTTGCTAATCCGCTCTCCCCTCCGCGCCGTGGCGGATGTTTGTATTCGTGTTTTTCGTCGCGTTTCAGCGCGCTTTCTTGCCCTATTTCAGAAACTGTAGTCCCATATGTCTACTTGACGACTAAGACATCACGAGGGTTCAAAGGTCCTTGTGACAACTGAGGTTTGTTGACTAACAGTGACGGAACATTCCCAGTAAGAAGCGCGTAAATATATCCAGCATTCAGGATCGGAAGTCGACAAGAATAGTCAGCGCAAGGAGACTATCTGTATTTCCTGAAAGTATCGTTCTTTGTATTCATAATATATCGAAAACAGTATGTTGGTTATGTGCGGAAACTCGCGCAGGAGATAGACAACGAGCGTTTAACTCGTATTTTATCTGAGGCTAGGAGTAATGGTACGTCAACATCAGGCGATCACACCTACATGCGGGTGAGGTCCGCAATCTTTTTTTGCGACCTAAGCATTCGGTAGGTCGGTTTTCTTATATGACGTTTAAGAAATTGTATAGCGTGCTCACTCCCATTTCGACAGTCATTTAAGTGATTTATTGATTTCCTTTAGATAACCAGTGCCATCCACTGAATTTATTTAATTACAAAGGTTAGGACTTCGCGCGTAAGAAACTTCCACAGACACTTAACGGCAGCGAGTTTTAGAATAGCGTGCACAAAGGAAGAACGTCGTTTCTATTTGCAAATCCAAAACGCGGTTTGGGTTCGGCGCTTGCGCAATAATGACAACTTTTTTTTTTTTTTTTTTTTTTTTTTGCATTTGCTGTTTTAACTTTTGTCAGTATCTAAAACTAGGGATGCCGCGAACTTTTTTGGAACCGAAGTTTCCATGATCGAATCAAGCGGTTCAAACGGTCGAAAGATTTCGATTTTTCGAACTTTTCATATCGAGAAATTCGACGGAAGTCGATTTTATAACTTATTAAACTAAGAAGTTCGACGCTTTTCGAAATTTGAAGCTTGTTACGCTGCAAAATTTGATGCTTGTCGAACTTTAGAACTTGATAGACTAAAAAATTCGATGATTTTCGAACTTTCGATTTATTTGCACTTAAAAGTTCGAAGCGTTTCGAAACTGTCGATCTTTCTACGCTAAGAAATTCGATAATTTTCGACCTTTCAAACTTATTAATCTAAAGAATTCGAAAATTGTCGAACTTTCGATACCTGAAAAGTCAAAAGTTCGACGAACTTCTACCTTTTAGGGCAAAATTTCGAAGTTCATCGAACTTCGAAATTTTGTTTCATTTGGATCCAAGCAGTGAGGTACATTGGTAATTTTTTTCTTTCGCAATTTTACATGCGGTGCCGCATTCCTTGCGAAAGACAATGCCGCTTATTTCAATCATCTGGCATGCTTGGTTTTAAAGGAATAGATTCCCAAAGGAGCGAGAAATGACGACGGGTTTTTGACATTGTTGTTTTTGCCATACTTGAAGCGCGCTATTGCCGAAGCTATTTATGGTAGAGATGTTAAACTTTTCAAGAATGATCTATGTATAGCCTAGATAAGTGTCGTCTCAAGATATGATTATTGTTCAAGACGAGTTTCGAAGAAACATCCAAACATGTACCTACAGGCAATTATGCCCTAGTCTTTTTTTGTTTTCGTCTGCATTGTTTGAGGCATTGCATTTAAATTAACACCAGAGACAGTACATATCATTACAATCTGCAGAACACAAAATAATGCATTTATTGTTGTTGTTTTTTTACGTTGAGGAATAAATAACTCATGGGGGAACATTTCTAAAATTGTTCAAG